GGACCTACGCCAAGCTGGGTCGGTTTCGCCGCCGTCCGTCCGGCCGGGCCGGGCCCGGGTTCCCGTCAGTTTTATTTTTCCCGAATTTATTCTTTTTGTTTCAAACAGATATGTCTGTTCGTGGGTTCGGGTTCTACCATCTGTCCGAGAGTGAGAGTAACCGAACCGAACGAAATTGTTCGCTTGGTGACTCTTCATTTTCGTCCTTCTATATCCGAAATTCGCTTGGTGACTATTCATTCGCACATGACCGAACGAAACTCTTCGGTTATTAGCAACTGTTCATTCTGACTCTTTATTTAAAAAAAAAAATAACATCCGTCGAAGAGTAATTCTCTGGTTTTTCCGCGAGTCATATTGTTGCACTCTCATTCTTCATCATTGTCATTTTTTGTGCGATTATTCAGCGAAGTTGCATTTGAAGGAGTCCTCTGAATACATACCACTTCAGAGGAACGAGATCCGTTCTATCCTGGGAAACGATTGTCCAATATCCTCGGGTACTGATTGAGGGGCCAAATTCGTCTTAAGGACACGATGTTATGTCGTTGGGCTCGGATCAACATTCTGTTTATTTATTTGTACTGCTTTCAGGTTAGTTTTCCTAAACATTTGATTTCAATTTCTGATATATGAACTTAGCCGACAACAGCAAATCCGTTCGTCTTTTAATAGCTGTTTACCTGGTTATGTAAGCTCAACTTGGCTCAATCATAGAAACTGTATAATTGTTAGATAGAAGAATAGGAAGGGAGAGCAAAGATTGACGCGGCATGTCTTCGGAAAGGAACAAAACCTAGGCCCTTGATTGGTTAGAATATTCGCAATTTTGTTTTAAGTGAAAATAAAGAAGTTTTCTAATTTCGGTTTTTTTTAGAAATAAAATTTTTCAGCAGAACTAGAATTTTACAAATTTATTAGTTGTGTTGTCTTCAAAGTTTATACGTCTTTTCGTTTGTTCATATGTGTTTATAACCTCAATCAATTTTGAAGATGAAACAAGTCCTTTGCTTTTGTTTCATGGTATTTAAGTTCTTTCCAAAAGGGGAGCTTGATTTATTTTGTTTTAAACCCACTCGATAACCAATGCCTTTCTCCATGTCATGTAAAATTTTAAATTGTGGTATCATTATCAATTGCTCTAAAAATTTAAACTATTAAATGAAGGCATTCTTTAATATTTAAATATACTAGTACTCTTTATCATACTAGATTAGGCTTTGACTTAAGACTAAAACTTGAAAAGATATAATTAGTGAAGCAAATAGGGGTCTAGAAAGATTTGAGTTCAATTATTCAGCAAAATTTAAGAAAATTATTTGACCCGGAATATAATAATTGATATAGTAAAATTAAATTAGATAATTCTAAGAAAATATATTTATAACATATTTGTGAAATACATTATTAAATTTATTTTTTTTATATTTTCTTCTTTTCAAACCAACATACTTTAAATATAGCATATCTCATTTCTAACTAATATGTTTAGAAGAAAATGAAAATGAAGCTAAACCACTTAATTCGAAATTGAGTTAAAAAAAGATAAGATTGATAAGATTTTTATTTCAATGATAAAATTTCCTTAATTTGATCAAATATATAATCGTAAGAGTGAAATAATTGTCACTCTTTAATTAATCCAGTAAAACTATAAGAATATAAAACTTGCACACTTTACTGAAACAAATTATGTACATTTCATTGATTTTTTTTTTACTTTCTTCTTGTGAAATTATCTAATTTTAAATATATCATTAATCAAATAGTAAAACCATTTGGACTAAATTAAAAATGAAAATGCTTTCATATATAGTTCGCTTCATTTGAAATTAACTTATAAAATCAGATAAGTGAGAAGTCTAGAAACTTAAATCAATCAGGATTGTAAGCATAGATTGAAATTGTCAAACTATATCACTATAGAATGAATAACCAAGATTTATATATACATTACGAAACACTATTTTTAATAAAAGTGATAAATGAACGTTTTACATTATCTTTTACACACTTGCACTGGATGTTCACATAATTATAATTTGTGATATGTAGGTTATCTTTCTTATTTGTAGGATTTTGCACATTTTGGTTTAATGGAGGTTTATGTACATAAATGTTTCATGACATGCATTAACAAAACCCTTATCTTTGTTAATAAATTCGGGAGAGAAATATCGGCAGCAATTTCTCTTAACTCGTATTTCTACTCGATTTTCGGTTTTTACATTTTCATTAGTTAAAAAACTTCAAATCCTGCATTATGATTTGTTTTTTTTTTAATTCAAAACAATTGAAACTTTCATAGAATGATTAATACCACAAAAAACTCCAAACTGGTACATATATGACAGATTTACTCAAAACTAATTTTTTGACCACCGAAGATCCCAAACTGGTACATTTGTGACAAATTTACCCTCCATTAAGTAATTTAATACAAAAAAAAACCACAAACTAGTACGTCTGGGACAAGCGGAGAGTTAAATTTCAAATTGGTACATTCGTCAACTGCCTTATGTCATTTAATTAAGTAATTTGACAGTAAAATTTAACGGAAACTAACGGATGGTAAATTTGTCACAGATTTACCAGTTTGGGAATATCGGCAGCAATTTCTCTTAACTCGTATTTCTACTCGATTTTCGGTTTTTACATTTTCATTAGTTAAAAAACTTCAAATCCTGCATTATGATTTGTTTTTTTTTTAATTCAAAACAATTGAAACTTTCATAGAATGATTAATACCACAAAAAACTCCAAACTTGTACATATATGACAGATTTACTCAAAACTAATTTTTCGACCACCGAAGATCCCAAACTGGTACATTTGTGACAAATTTACCCTCCATTAAGTAATTTAATACAAAAAAAAAACCACAAACTAGTACGTCTGGGACAAGCGGAGCCAAAAAACTCCAAACTTGTACATATATGACAGATTTACTCAAAACTAATTTTTCGACCACCGAAGATCCCAAACTGGTACATTTGTGACAAATTTACCCTCCATTAAGTAATTTAATACAAAAAAAAAACCACAAACTAGTACGTCTGGGACAAGCGGAGAGTTAAATTTCAAATTGGTACATTCGTCAACTGCCTTATGTCATTTAATTAAGTAATTTGACAGTAAAATTTAACGGAAACTAACGGATGGTAAATTTGTCACAGATTTACCAGTTTGGGATTTTTGGTGACCAAAAAATTAGTTTGGGGTAAATTTGTCACATGTGTACCAGTTTGATGTTTTTCGTGGTAATAACCCTTTATAGAATATGAACCTCATACATGAACTCATATATATATATAACTCTTCTGATAATTTTGAACAATATTTAAATTTTGATGGGAAAGGTGAATGGAACAATCAAAAAAGTTATCAGGGAGAAAGAAAGACAAGGAATAAACAAAGAAGGAAAGCGGAAAGGAAAAATAATATATAAAAGGAAGGAACAGAGCACAAAGAGGTGATCGATTTGTCTTTTTATTGATTTTGTTCCGATTATTGCTTGTCTGGAACACACCAAGTAGCTGCAAAGCAAGAGACACACCCACGCCTTTACTCTATTGAACAGTCACCCTCACCCCAATTTTCTATGATTTTTTCTGATCCACCCTTGTTTTCGAATGGCTCACATGTTTTGTAATTATCGAATTATAGAGATAGAAATTGGGCAAAATGGTCCAGAATGGAATGTGTCCCACCTTTTGGCCTTAGGAAACTCTGGCAAGCATTAAGCATAAAGAGTATTCATGGGAAATTGCTTGGAGAATATATGCATCACTTTCAATATGTTATTCGTTATCGAATTTCCAAAATAATTTCTTCCTACTGAAAGTAGAGCTCCAAACATAAATATGGATAGATGATACAAATGGTCTCTGAACTTTGACCACGTGTACAATATGGTCCTTGAACTTTAAATCTGCTCAATGTGGTCTTTGAACTTTAGCTCAATGTACAATATCGTCCCTAAACTTTTAATTTGCTCAATGTGGCTCATTGACCTATGATACATGTTCAATTTAGTCTATGGACTATATGAAAATGTTCAATGTTGTCCCTAAACTTTAATCATTGGAAGGACAATATTAAACATTTTCATACAATCTAGGGACTAAATGGAACATGTATTAAAAGTCCATGGACCTCAAATTAATGTCTAACAATTTCCCAAATTAGCGTGAGCAAGTCTACTTAGCCAATGAAAAACTCAAATCATCTGAAGCCGAATCTTTACTCAAATCAATGAAAAATCTGCGAAGTTACTGTTACTACCCAAAAGAATCAACCTATCAAACTAAAAAATAAAATTATAAAACTTCAATAAATCACTTGGCAATAGAATACCATGAAAGTAGTTTCCTCGTGATTAATTAAGGCAATAAGGTAACTCAAGCCTATACAGACTAGCACTCAACGGTTCCGGCACAAAAGCTACGCCCTCGTAATTCGATACTCCCCGAAACTTTCACCATTTTCGAAAGTGAAGCAACTAGACACGCTCGAACCAAGAGACGGATTATTCATATCCTCAATTGAGCACAAATCCACCACTAGAATAAACCATCGCATACGTGAAACACCATAAATAGGATGTTACAAAAGTTTAAAGCGCAAGCGAAAGAGAAATGATCACTTGCAGGCTGACATGCCGACGACAAGATCCCAGAGCCGGAGAGAGAGAATCAGCCACCGGAGGAGAGGACGACGTCCTGAACTTTTTTGTTATGAATTGCAATAAACTTCATCACCGTCTTGTTAGAATATTTAGATATTATTTGCCTCCCCAGTTACATATCCACGCTTTAGGCTTGGGTCAAAGTTCAGCTTACGTTTGAGGGAGAGGGTTAGAATATTTAGATATTAAATCACCCATTTATCTAACAGCTTAAGTTTTGAGAACAGTTAGCAATGGTCCCACTAAATCTCACGGAGCAATATAAGAATAAGAATGCAAAAGAGAGACATGCATAATCCTCATAAAAAAGGTATATAGATAAACATCCTAATATTGCTAACGCGTCCATATAAAATAAAATAGAAGACCATTAACCATTTGCAACTCGCTAATTAGGTGGAGCTTTCAGGTACACATGAAGGCAAAGAGGAGACACTAGGAAGCTTCCCACAATCATATTGTGTAATGCTATTTACTATTATAGCCAAGACAAGCCTATAGAACACAACATCTCTCAGGAACTTCATTAATCCACTAGATCCATCTTGCTGCAAATAACCTGAGAAGTACGACGCTGTTATCAATATGGCGGCCCTCAGTCTCCTTTCCTTTGCGTACCTCTCTATAGCAAATCCAATATCTTGGGTCACGAGCTCGCCGTGCTTGGAAATCAAGTCCCCGAGGTGCCGGTCCAATACTACCGCATCCTCAAGCGCCGAACATCCGCCCTGCCCCAAGTCGGGGGTCATCGGGTGCATAGCGTCTCCGGCCACCGTGACGTTTGATCGGGCTAGGTTTCCGAACAGGACGTCCCAAGGATAGCAGAACATCAGCGGGGCCCATGTCAAACTCGAGAGATCGGAGCGCTTGACGATGTCCAGGTACCCGGGTGGGAAGTCCTTTGCCAAATTTTCGCTCACTTCCTTCTGTATCATTTCTGGATCCACTCCGTTCTCCATACCTTGATGAATTGAAACGTTAAAGATCAAAGAAGATCAGCAAGTAATTATTAAAGGGGTATCATAGTCCAGTAAATGTTAAGAATCAGAAAAAAAAAATTACCAGATATTGATTAGAAATTATTTGTAAAGAGTCGGCTTTAATGAGTCGATGTTTATCATATACATTCATCCCCCAATTGATGAATTAATTGTATTTCTTTTTTTATTCCTGCTAAAAGCAATCTGGCTACTTTTCTATGTAGTATATCAAGAAAAAAGTGACTAACTCGATATCATTAAAAAAATAAAATCCAAAACGAAGGGAAGATAAAAGGTGAAAACTATATCCAATGGTACCTTTAGGAGGACACTTCCCCAGGAAAAACCAGTAAAGTTCCTTATCGTTGGGAGGGCCCAATTTCCTAAAAAACTCCAAACTTTACCTTTTGTCCCAATTATATCCCAAACTTTTTTTTGTCTTATAAAAAACCTCAAACTTTTACTTTTGTCCCAAATCTACCCAATTCACTTTTCGTCCAATTTTTTAATGTTATTTTTTTTTTTGAATTTTCTTTTCTTTTCTTTTCTTTTTCCTTTCCTTTTATTTTTTTTTTTGTTTCACCTTTGGGCCGGTCGCCGGACCGGCGACCGGCCAGAGGCGGGGGCCGGCGGGGGCGAGGCTCGGTCCCGCCGGCGTTGGGCGAGGCCGAGCCTCGCCGTGTCCGGGCGAGGCTCGGCCTCGCCGTTCTTGGGCGAGCCGACCTCGCCGTTGCCGGCGGGGCCGACCTCGCCGGCCACGGCGAGGCTCGGCCCCGCCAGCCTATTGGCGAGGTCGGCCTCGCCGGCGCCGCGTGGCCGAGTTCTCGCCGATCCGGCGAGGCTCGGCCCCGCCGACAACCGGGCGAGGTCGGCCGAGGCCGAATCTCGCCGTTCTTGGGCGAGGCCGACCTCGCCCGGTTGCCGGCGGGGCCGAGCCTCGCCGATCCGGGCAAGAACTCGGCCACGCCTGGCCGGCCGCGAGCCGAGCCTCGCCGGCTATTGGCGAGGTCGGCCCGCCGCAACCGGCGCGAGTCGGCTCGCCCGGAGAACGGCGAGGCCAAGCCTCACCAGGCGGGGCCGAGCCTCGCCGGCCTCGGCGAGGCTCGGCCCCCGCCGGCTATTGGCGAGGTCGGCCTCGCCGGCGACCGGCGGGGCCAAGCCTCGCCTGTGACATTCTGAATTTTGGCCCATAGTTGGGATTTATAAAACGTGTAATTCGTCAGTGTGCTTATAGGAAAATCTCGCCCGGGAACTGATCACTCTCGGTTATTATTTTTTTTAAATTAGAGATTTCGCTAGAATCGCACTCGATCAAATTTGGCCGTTATTTAGAGCCCAAACTTTGGTGTCGAATTTCTCGGAGTTTCGGGACGAATTTAATTGGACGGTGTCGATATTATTGTGGCCAGCGTTGCTATTGCCAGGAATATGTGGAAAGTGGATTTTCGACCGGGTGCGAATTTGGACTAGTAGACCCCACTCGTAGTGTGTTTTGAGTTATTTTCTTTTGGCCCTTTTTCCTATATTATTAATTAGGATTATTGTGGACCGTTAAATCGTTTTCGAGTTCGAACGTGGGCCGTTGGATCGCGATCATTAGGTTTGACTTTGTGGTTTTCTCTCTCTCTCTCTCTCTCTCCCCGGTCACCACCCCCTGCGCACGTCTATCCCTTCTCCCCTGTGTCAGACCCATCCCTTCTCCTTCTCTCTCTTCCTTTTTCGTTTTCTTCTTCCTTCTTTCTTCTTCTTCTTCCTCCTCCTTCGCCGCTCGATCGTTTCTGCTTCTGCTCGCACCAGCCGACGCCGACCGAGCTCGCCTCCAGCCCCGTCGCCGCTCGCCGCCGTCGCCCGACCGAGCTGTGCCGCCGCTCGTCGCCCGCGACCGCCGCTCGTCGGCCTTGTCCGCCTGTCGCCGGCCCTGTCCACACTGCACGCGAGCAGCAGCTTGCCGCTGCGTCCGCCGTGGTCCGGCGTTGCCCAGCCGTCCACCGGCCTGTCCTCCGTCGCCCGGCCACCCGAGACGCCGCCATGCCACCTCCGGCCGCCGCGCGACCCCCTCTCCCCCTGTTTCTCTCTTCCCTGACGCCTTCCCCAGTTTCGGCTCCAAGCTTCGCCGCCGCCGCGTTCCGTCGTTCCGGCCGCCTCCGCCACCCAGCCTTCCCCCCCCAGCCACTTCCGCCGATCTGCCGCTCCCCCCTTGGCCGCCACCACCTTTCTTCCTCTGTTGTTCTTCCTCCCCGACGCCTTCCCTGTTTTGGGCTCTCCCCGGCGCCGCCTCGACCAGCCGCCGCGCGTCGCCGTACCGGCCGCCGTCGCTGCCCCGTCTACCACCACCTAGCCCCGGCGACCCTGCCCAGCCAGCCCGAGCGTGCCCCGGGCCGTGCCCGAGCCCGCGCCCTTACTCATACGGTTCAGCCGAGGGGGGGCCGTCACTGTTCATCCGGCCCATTACCGTTCATTCCGAGTACTGTTCATCCGGGCCCATACTGTTCATTCCGAATACTGTTCATCCGGGCCTATTACTGTTCATTCCGAACACTGTTCATCAGGGCCCGTTACTGTTCATTCGGCACTGTTCATCCGGGCCATTTTTGAGCCAGTGCGGGTTTTTCCCGAGCCAAATTGAAGTAAGTGACTTCCTAAACCCTACCTAGTATTTTGGGTACTTTATTGACTTGTCTCGGGTTTAGAATGGCTAGGGCGTGTTTTAATTAAATTATTTTATGATATAATTGTGCTAATTGGATTGGATAAAATAATGTGCATGATTTGGGTGATCATACGTGGCCGACTTGAACGTCGGGTTTGTGGATTGACGTGGCGAATTGTGAATATGGATCCTTTGATGCAATTGGCGTGAAATTGATTGAATTGAATGGCGTGTGCATGCCTGTCGATTTTAAGCTCGGATTGATCGGAGGGCTACGGACTTGGGACGTGTTGACGGCGGTCCGTGTGAAGGCATGAATGGTCGATGTGCCAAATGGATTCGGGCTTGAGACGTGTTGACGGTGGCCCGTTAAAGGTGTGTTGTACCGTGACGTGTCTACGTCGGTCATTGGAAATTGATTGAATAATGTGGCTTGGGACGTGTTGACGGCGGCCACTGGAAATTGATTGAATAGTGTGGCTTGGGACGTGTTGACGGCGGCCACTGGAAATTGATTCAATAGTGTGGCTTGGGACGTGTTGACGGCGGCCACTGGATTTGATTGAATGGTATGGCTTGGGACGTGTTGACGGCGGCCATTGGAATTGATCGAATTGTGTGGCTTGTGTGCCTGTGAGACCGGACTTGAGACGTGTTGACGGTGGTCCGTGAGAGGAAAGTTGGTTGGACACGTGTGTGCGATGTGACTGATTGGTTTGGCGGATTGCGAGTGGGAGTGTGTGCCGAGTGATTGTGATATGGTGGTGAACTATTGTTGCGTTATCATGTTTGGACTAATATGCAGGGTTGGCACGTGATTCGAGGCGAGGTAAGCTTGTCGTGTGAAATTGGTTGTGTTGTTTGGCTATTCGCATGTTAGACTTGTCTGGGTACGCATTGGCCTACGTGGGGTATAGGGGGTTGCTTATTGAGACTCGTTCTCACGGTTATTATATAACCATTTCAGATCCGCGATCGTGATCGATACGGAGATGCCGCCAGAGCTCCACAGGGATTGAAAGATAGATCATTTACCCTGTCTTTTGAGTACCTTTTGTAGAGGAGATAAGTTTGTCAACCACCGCCCCCTTTTTGAAAATTGTGGCTTTAAATTTGGTAGACTGGGTTATTATTTTGTAATAGTGACTGCTTTATGATGTATGCAATTACTGTTGCGTGCTATCCCTTTGTTATTGTTTATTGTCTGGATTAATTAATTTCGCTTCCGTTTGCCTTTATTGTTGGGTGTTTCGTTCGGGTCGGCGACGCGTCCTAGGACGTCGCGTTCAATACGACCGTGGAAGGGGTGTCGCGAGCCCGTTGGGGTTCGGGGCGTGACATCCCCGTTGAGTTGGTATCAGAGCAAGGTCAGCTCGATCCCAATGGTCGAAACCTGGAGTGATAAGGAGCGATGACTTTGGGATAGCTAGTTAGGGAGACTTGTTGGCCATGCGTTACCCAGACTGTTTGGTTATGATTGTTGAGTGATATTATGCACTAATACGTGAAATGCAGGTGCGTCAGGACTTGAGGTAAGTGCACGAACTATGTTGGTTGTGATTGGTTGTCGGTTGTGATTGGCTGCCTGCTTAGTGAATTGTGTTGTGATTTTACTGCCTAGGGCTTAGACTGGTATAGTTGGCCTAGGTTTTTAATTCCTGCGTGGAACTTCGCAGGTGAGCGTTTGTGAGAATCGGTAAGATGAGCAGTCGAGGTCGAGGTCGAGGTAGAGGTTGAGGTCGAGGTCGCGTAGCCCCGTTAGCTGGAGTTATGGAGGATCCTAGGGTGGATGAAATCTGGAGAGCGCTCGAAGAAGCATGAATATTATCTGGTAGACAGACGGGGGAAAGAAGTGCTAATGTCGCCGCTGCAGCTGCCAGCGAGATTGTTGGGAATAATGGAGATCAAGGGAATAATGTAATTGGTGAAAATCCCGGTCCAGTGCGAGTAAATGCGATCAGGCCAATGTCCAAGCTGGTCGAACAGTTTCTGAGGTTGAAACCCCCAAAGTTTGATGGGTGAGGTGACCCCGAGGCTGCACCGAGATGGGTAGAAGAGCTAGAGAAAGCTTTTGAGGTGCTGGGGTGTACTGAGGAAGAGAAAGTAACCTTAGGAGTCTACCAGCTTCAGGAAAATGCTAGCGATTGGTGGAGAGCCACCAGAGGTCAAGTGTTACCCGCTGGTACTGCCCCGAATTGGACTATTTTTACCGAGACCTTCAATGGTAAATACTTCTCGGAAAGCGCCCGAGAGCAGAAACTGGCGGAATTTATGAGACTCCGCCAAGGTCAGAAGGCGGTAGATCAGTATGAAGCCGAGTTTGCAAGGCTATCCAAATTTGCCCCCAGAGTGGTGGAGGACCCAATGGACAAAGTTAGGAGGTTCCGGGATGGGCTGAAGCCGGACCTTCGCAGTCAGATGATCTCATTGAACTTGAGGGGCTATAATGAGATTTATGAAAGGGCTCAGGCAATTGAGCGAGATCAAACGGATCGGGCTGCAGCTTCTGGATCGCGGTATGCCCTGACTAGGGATGACCGTCAACTTGGGAAAAGGCCCATGGCAGGAAATAGTCGCTTTGTCCCTCCCGTTCGGAGGAATATTGGGAAGCCAAACCGTTATCAGAACGCCCCATGTAGGCTATGTGGAGGAAGGCACTGGAATGGACCATGCCCAAATAGGAGCGGAGTCTGTTTTGTATGTGGCGGAAGGGGCCATCGATGAAGGATCGCCCAACAATAGGCGAAGTGGGTCGCCCGCACTCTGCCGCCGCCGCCCGAATGGAAATCAAACTAGAGCTATCCATGGCCAATCGAATAGGGCCGCGCCCAAGGCCGGTGTATGCAATGGCAAGGAGGGAGGCTCAAGACGCGCCTGGCGTGGTCACAGGTACTGTCTCTCTCTGTGATCATGCTGCATATGCCTTGTTTGATCCGGGGGCGTCGCATTCATTTATATCTGAGCAGTTCGTTGAATTATCTGGGATTGAGCCGAAATCGCTTGATGTTATGCTGTGTGTTACTACTCCACTGAATGATAAAGTGCTGATTGCGTTTGGATGTCCCGATTGTAAGATAGTGATTGGCGATAAGGAAGGAAGGATAGATTTGGCGGTTTTATCTATGCATGACTTTGATGTGATTATCGGTATGGACTGGCTGGTCAAATAGAGAGCTGTTATGGACTATAGTAGCAGGGTGATCCAATTTAATCCAGTTGGACATCCTAGATTTGAGTTTGTGGGAAACCGAGGAGGAACCTCGATCCCTTGGATTTCGTCGCTCGAGGTAGCCAAGCTTCTGAATGAAGGGTGCCAAGGATTTCTGGCAAATATAGTTGATTCGACGGCTGGAGAGCCGAGGCTAGAAGACATAGCCGTGGTGTGCAATTTCCCTGATGTTTTTCCTCAGGAATTGCCGGGACTGCCACCTGATAGAAAAGTGGAGTTCGTGATTGAGTTAGCCCCAGGGACGGAACCGATCTCGAAAGCGCCCTATAGGATGCCACTGTCTGAATTGAAGGAATTGAAGGTCCAAATGCAGGAGTTGCTAGATAAAGGCTTTATCCGCTCGAGTGCGTCTCCATGGGGAGCACCGGTGTTATTCGTGAGAAAGAAAGATGGATCTTTGAGGTTGTGCATAGACTACAGACAGTTAAATCAGGTGACCATTAAGAATAAGTACCCACTACCAAGGATAGAAGACCTGTTTGATCAGTTGCAAGGTGCATCGATATTTTCAAAGATCGACTTGAGGACGGGTTACCACCAATTGAGGATTAAGAATGAGGATATACCAAAAACGGCATTTAGGACGAGATATGGGCACTATGAGTTTACGGTAATGCCGTTCGGATTGACTAACGCCCCTGCAGCCTTTATGGACTTAATGAATCGGATATTCAAGGAGTTTTTGGATCAGTTCGTCATTGTCTTCATAGATGATATTTTAGTGTATTCAAAGAGCCCCGAGAAACATGAGGTACACTTGGAAAAGGTTCTACGAACGTTAAGAGAGCATGCACTGTATGCTAAGTTTAGCAAGTGCGAGTTTTGGTTGAACCGAGTAGAATTTCTTGGACATGTAATTTCCGGAGAAGGAATCTCTGTGGATCCGGCAAAGATTGAAGCAGTGATGGATTGGCCGAGACCGACGACGGTTACTGAGGTTCGAAGCTTCTTAGGACTGGCAGGTTACTATAGACGATTTGTGGAAAGATTCTCGGCAATAGCCACTCCATTGACAAGGTTGCTTAAGAAAGAGACTAAGTTTGAATGGACGGAAAACTGCGAAGAGAGCTTTCAGGAGTTGAAGCAGAGATTGACGACTGCGCCAGTGCTAACGATCCCTTCAGGACCGGGAGGATATGAGATTTATAGCGATGCTTCGCTCAAGGGATTGGGATGCGTGCTAATGCAACATGGAAGGGTGGTTGCTTATGCATCGCGTCAGTTAAGGCCTCATGAGATGAACTACCCAACTCACGACTTGGAATTGGCAGCAATCGTTTTCGCACTTAAGATTTGGAGGCATTATTTATATGGAGAAAGGTTCCAAATTTATACGGACCATCAGAGCCTCAAGTATTTGTTTTCGCAGAAGGAATTGAATATGAGGCAAAGACGTTGGATGGAGCTTCTGAAGGACTATGACTGTGATATTTTGTATAATCCCGGAAAAGCCAACCGGGTAGCGGATGCCTTAAGCCGGAAATCGAGCATCGCACAATTATTAGTTAAGGAGTGGATTTTATTGGAAGAAGCACGAGACTCAGAGTTTAAGTTTGAGGTAGGACGCCTC